AACAAAGCAATCAATACACTTTGGGATTATGCTGTTGAACTAAGCTGTGGAAGAGTTTTCAGCATCCTTGTGGGTAGTTTTATGAAAATATGCTGCGATGTCTCGAATGTCATACCAACTTGAATATTAGGGGGCCTTTGGGTAGCACATTCAGCTGAAGAATATCATATTCCGCGAAAACCAAATTGGTATGCGAAAGAGTGGATTTGTCCAATATTTGGCAGCAAACGTTTGATAATCATTTGCCCGTAGCCTTATATCTGCAAGCTGTGACGAATAGTCTGCCTTCGGCAATAGGTTTTTTGAATGCCTTAATCACTGTAAACAAAATTCGACGGTTCGAGGTCCCACCTAGCAGCTACTTCAAGTTGTCCCAGATGCCCAAGCTCAGGAGTGGGTCGCACACACAAAAATCTTCTTTCAGCTGTAGCACCCTTTCGGTGCCTAACTGCCATGCCACCCGAAGGTTGCACGAGGGCTGGGATACTGCCAGGTCGCCCAAGCCTAGACAGGGGAAGTCGAGTGGCAGAGGTCGGACTCGAACCACGGACCTTCCGGTCAGTAAATTCGCGCTCTAACCACTTGGGCCATCTCGCACACACAAACCCAGTTCTAAATGCTTTTAGTAGCTTTACTACTAATAAACTTGGAATTCAGTGCCATTTGTATCTGTGATAGAATCAGCAAAATCGAGGTATACTTGAGCTGTGGCGCCCTTTCAGTACGTTGTTTCATTGTCACCCCAAATTAATCACAGGTTGTTGAAACCTAGACCAGAATAATCTGAAATCCAGAACAAGTTCGATCGTCGCTTCGCCCGGTCACCAGGTCACACCTAAACCCTTTATCCAGTCCTTTTTTTCAAGGAACCTCGCCCACTGTCATTTCCAAACGTTATAATTGTGTTTTTTCTGTTTAGGTGCGTTACTTTCTCTTTCTTTCCGAAATGAGAAAGCAAGCGAGTTCAGCTACGATTAAAAGGTGGCTGATTGAGTTCCGGAAGAATCAATCACAATTATTTTTGTCGTAATTTCTATGCACGTGGTCCTGCCAAAGGTTGGAGTGGGCCATCGTAGTGGGCACATATTGAGTCCAGATTCCCAACTGCTTTTCCACTTTCTAGTTTTTCTCCAGTTGGTTTTCGGAGCATATTTCACATTGACTACTGTCGTTCTTCCTGAGGCTGACTTATCGTCTTAATTTTCTTGTTTGACTCCAGCTCACAACTCTGCTTATTTAGTCAGTAACTAACGTCCCATGTGCTGTCATCACATGTCCTCATTGTTCGTTCCTCTCACTCAAGCAAACCAACAGCTGCTCCCTCTAGTGTCATGCTCCAGTGGTTCACGTCGAAAGTCTGTCAGTAGTCCATCAACTGAACCCAAATTCACGAGGAGTGATGGATCATTCACCTGTGTTCGTCCCTGAGATCGTTCCAATTCAGTAAATTTTTGTCTCGATTGGATTATGCAGTCTTCCACACACGTATAATTTACTTGGGCAGCTTGTGTTTCGGGTATTATACGATGGTTAATCAAGCCCTGTGTATATTTGTTGTGATGGGATCGAAGGCAAATCACACAATAACGAATGCTAGCTGAAGAAAAAAAACCGATAAAATGCCGATTTCATTTGCCATTGTATGCGAAATATCGCGCTGACGTAACGACCTTCGATTAGCCGATTTGGAAGCTCATACATGTGATTAGCAGGATTCTCATAAAAGGAAACTGTTGTGTATTTTTTATTCATGGTCCAGGATGTTTTCTGTCTTGATTTTCGTGACTTTTGTTTGGTTGTGGACAAGAACGACGTCTGTTTGCAAAAATCAGCGATTCATTTGGAAGTGACACTTGCATTAAAATCCTCATACGGAGGCCTTGAAATTCAGTTTGAGGGGACTTGGACTACACGTTTATCAGGTGTAGTTCCTGGTCTGCCCAACTGTTGACTTACTCAGACAGCAATTGGCCTACTGATAACCAGTAACCAGTCAGCTGTAACACCCTTTCGGTGCCTAGCTGCCATGCCACGCGAAGGAAGTACGAGGGCTTGCATACTGCAAGGTTGCCCAAGCCTAGACAGGGGAACTTGAGAGGCGGAGGTCGGGCTCGAACTACGGACCTTCCGGTCAGTAAATTCGCGCCCTAATCACTTGAGCCATCTCGCCCCATTGGCCTACTGGTGAGTGGCCAGAATGCTTTTATCCGCTGGATGGATTCGGTAGTTACCAAAGGATGGACTTTAAATTTTTTCCCACAGCCTTTTTATGTTTCGGAAGTAGCTGTACTTTCTAAAACTCTTTAGAGAGATCCCGGAGGCTGAATACTACTGGGGATATCTTCACCTGACGATGAGTCGTCTCTGGATTTTTACTGAGATATTTTGTCGGGTTACGGGAGAATTTTAACGATGCCTTGCTGAAAAATGTTAGAACACCTTAACATGGGAACTCCTTAAACCTCAGAGCCTAACATTCCGAAACTTGTTCGCACAAAAGATGTTTTTCTGTGTGATTTTACACACTGGTGACAATATTTAGTCGGACGTGTTTGTTGTTTCCAATCGGCACTCTGATCTGCTACGCGTTTGTAACGACTGACTTGCGAATATGCCCGACATTTTTACTGATCTAGACGTATAGCGGTTCCGAGTTGTGATGTGCAGGGTAGCCTAGCGGCACTGTAGAGGGACTCTGGATCACTTTAACGTCATTTCGGGATGCGAAAAAACTCATTTGTGAGTGCACTGAAGCAACCCCTCTATCTCCAGAAAAAGTCGTAGCACTTCGCCGGACCAGCATCGATTTGTTGGCTTTTTTGATGCTGACGCGCACCCAAAGCAGCACACACAGAGGCGTAGAGACATCATTCTCATCAGCTGTGCAGGGCGTGCTGTGGCTCCAAGTGCCTTAGGTTTTTCACTTTGATGTGTGCACACGTTTACTAAACTGGTTGCCTCACCTTGTTCCTATGCACTTCAAATTCAGAGGCCTCCCAACTATGATGTCACTTGCTACAAACCACATGAATCATCAGGTGTGTAGTGGATTTGCTGCATTCTACGTGAGGACTCAGACATCATTCTCGTCTCATATTCCCATCACAGATTCAACGTAATTCTTAGAAAAAAAATCGCATGCAATGAGCTAATCCGGACTGATGCTTTTTGAGCAAGGGTCAGTAGTGTAGACCATGGTTTGACAGGATGTGCGCAGAACGTCACGTTGTTAGCCGTCGTTTAGGTTTGTTTTTAGCTGTATAAAATGTGGCACTGTGCCGATCGATTTCGCCTCTAACTCCTCACTTTGTGAGAGCCTTGTTCTCATTATCTCTCAACCATGCTCTTGGCGGTCAATCGCTTTTTATTCCAGCATCTAAATTACCACGTGGCGATGTAATCGCTAACGAACCTAAATAACACTATATATATACATAACATAATGTAATGTATCATCGCTTTTCCCTTTTGCATGCCACATCCAACGCTGCATCCAACATGCCGCGCAGTTATGCATAATTCCACTCTAGCACAAGTTTGTCTGCCTTTCATAAGATGATAAGACGATTTTTGGTGCGGTGGATGGAAAGTAAGACACTGAAGTATCACAGTACCTAGGTGATTCAGAGGTATCCGACCATAACGGTATGAAACACGTTTAAACAGGGCGTGAGTGTTACGCCCTTCATTCATACGAAGAACCTGTTGATGGAGCTCTCAGCTGCCAAGGAAATCGTTACTGAAGTTTAATCGAATGAGCTCCTGACCACAGAATCCGCCCTCTGACTTACTCAGGATACCTCTTGCGGTAGCTTCCGGAAGTTGCTGGCGGATAGGATAACATGTTTCTGCAAGAAGATTGTCGATCCGCCCATGCAAAGTTATTAGTATTGAACCCATCATATTAGTTGCAAATCTGCTCATAAAAGTTTGATCGATTGCAGCTAAGCGAGTAGTTTTGCGGGACGTGTGCGACCTGATCAGGGGTGCTGGTTGGATAACATAAAATAGAGGTAGGCAAACTATATCTATTTCTTTTTCAAAGATGTTTGCCTCACCCGGGCATTGTCATCCAGCTTACAGCTGTAGTTTGTTAGCTGTGATGTTTAGGCTGTGTCCGGCCGAAGTGAAAGCCAGTCACACTGTTGATCAGCCACTCGTGACCAGACTGTCAACCATTGGCCAGAGGGTTGTGGGTTCGAGAGTCTCTGAGATGCGCAGTGCTGATGATTCCCACCTAGGATGAAGCAGCTATACACTGCTCGACTTTTTAGCATAGCTTGGTTCCACTAACAAGACGAAACCTGGACTGGAAAACAGTTGAAAGTTCGAATTTTCGTGGCCAACTGTAACTAGCTGAGACACTTTCATTTTGAGTAGAGAGGTCAGTTGGTCTTCACGGCTTTGAGGAACGGATACGGAGCTTGTCAGAAGATTGTAAGTTGTGTACCTACTTCGGTTGAATTTTCGCGTTTTTTAGCTCCTAATATGAAAATTGCTTGTAACATGACCATGGTGATGTGGAATCGCTTCTATCCTAATATAGTCCATGGGCGGCATGAAGGTCATCCATGGGATGGAAGCCAGTGCTACACCTCCTGATTTCAGATCTCAGATCTTGAGCCATTTCATCGGTTCCTAGATGTTTCAGGAATAGCAGTTCCACTGGTTTCCCGAAGTTTACTAGGTGGAAGCTATACATATATGTCCGGTTGTGTAGCGTTTGGGTAATAGATAAAGAAGTCCAGTTCATCCAGCAATCCAGTGCCCTATTGACTTTCACAGCCGTGGGAGACATGATGCTCATCTTATTTACTGAATACTCAGGAGTTATGCTATATTCCTGTGTTCTTGACGATGTACACAGTCCGCTAGGTTGATCAACGCGCAGCTTCCAGACCTTTTGTTTTACTTTTACTAACCACTATTTTCTGGACACGCGCAGGCTGATGGAAGCAAAATGTACCTGAATTCCTTTTCGTTCTCTGTTCAACCCACAGCCTATACGACTACCAGCGTCTTTAAGTGCCGCCTTGCGTACCGTCGGTCTCTGTGCATCCATCGCTCCAATACCTCCAGCGCTCATAGACCCTGATGCGCATCCTGTTCCTGAATCGACCGGCTTTCAGTCGCCTTTCACATCTCCGAAATCGACGGTTTCTAAAGAACCTTTTACATCAATGCTTGGAGTTCCAGCTCAGTCGGGGCCGACAAATACTAGTCCCGTCCCTTCAGTAATGTTACCCCAGCTGACACTTCGTCGCCTGTGGGCACCAAACGACGGTCGAATCAGAGTCCCCCCTCCGCCAAAACCGCTTGTCACGCGGTAAGTTACGGTATCTGTAAGCTTCTTGAGTATTTTTGGAACATTTAACTAGGTTTCAACAGCCGTACCTTATCACACAAGTTTGTGACTGCTATACTGCTGGTCATGAGCCTTCGTCTTCCTCGAATCATATATTTCTGTGTGAGCTTTTAGCCTCTCGTAGACAGGTTGCTTTTTTCAACATCGTAAATCGCCTACGCGATTAGCGAAGACATTTACTCGACGAAACGCTAGCCTATTTTAGAGAATCTATCCTCGTGGTGGTACGTTCATCATAACGGAATCGCAAATTCCATGTGACGGGACGGTCTATTACGAGTAATCTGAATTCTTCACTCAGGGTGTTGGGCTTTTACTGTTGGTAGAACAAGCGAACGGATGCTGTGCCGTTCCCACAGGCTCAAGCAAACATACACTTATCTATTCCCGCATCTTTGGGTTCGCCTACTTTCTTCTCCGTATCATCGCAGATGACATCGCAAAGTGGAATATAGATTTAATCTCATCTTTCGGACCACGTTTAGAGACCAAAGCGAAATTATTCGGAACTGCACTTTATGGTTGAGTTCAGTTGGTGCATCATGGATGGCCCCAGCACATAATGAGGATCGTCATGAAAATCTCACACAGCTTGTTTCACAGAACTATCGTGTTTTTTTTGTTTTAAATGTCGACTAAGGATTTTGCGTGGCAGCATGCGGCATTAATTGCAGCAGGGCTCATTATTCACCCCGGTCAGTGATCTGCAAGTGGTTCACCTTGTTTTAACAAGAGGTTCGTGAAACAAAGGGTTGTATCCTACACCCTAAAGTTTTCCGGAACATTGGGGTGGTTAAGTGGTATTCCTAACTTTTTTCTCGGTCCCAATGGAGGACTTGAAAATTCGGTAAATTGAGTCGAAAAATGGGGGCCTCAGTAAATAAAGATGAAGGTCCGTTCCTAGAAAATCTATTGATTGTTCCGTGGATTGAAGAGTCTGCTTTTCGACAAATGCACTCATTTGCATATTAGTTTGGCTTTCATGGAAGGCTATACTGGATTTCTCGCTTGTGACATTCAGTTCAAGAAGGACATCATAAACGAGACATTCAGTAAAACCAAGGTGATATTCAGATGAGTCCATTTGTCGGATTTCATGCAATGTGGGTTCAAGTAGAACATGAGGTTGATGGAAACTCGGGGACTGCGCCTACTTGATGGGCCCCAAGAAGAGTGAAACCGGTTGTGAGCTGTCAATGAGTTTTTAGCAACCTTGTGAGTAGTTTCCTTTATGAAGAGTACGCCCTAATCTTTCTGTATCCACTCTTACTTGTTACTGCTGAGTTGGTTACCAGGCAATAGCAGATCGATTTTCAACGCTTTCGGCTCACACCTGATTGACGTCGATCACCAAATCTCAGCTTTGGGCATTGGAACTCATCCATCCATTTCCCTATGTTGTGTCTTGGTTTACCAAACTGCTGCTTATGTGTCACTGCGATTACTTGACCACCAACTGTGTACGTATAAGCTGTATGTAGAAGTCAACCGTACCCATCCATATGTACACCTGAAGAACACGCAGGCACCACCACTTCTTTAACACATGTTTTGTTACTACATGTTTCATTTATGGCCTGATAATTACTGTGCCAACAGAACTTTGATTTGAAGGCCTCAGTTATGAAGCAGGATGTGCTTCTCGAGGGTCGTGGAGGCTGATAAATATGGACGAAAGCTTTTTGTCAACGCGCTGTTACATGCATCATGTTGCCAAAAAATTTCCGACTTAGTCGGAATAGTTGAAAACACTGTACATACCAAGATCTATGCTTCTTTATTGCCCCATTTTATTCCCTCCAAAAGTTCTTACACTTCATGAGAAGTCAGATCAACTCAACGTTTACATCTGTCAGCTGGGAGGTCTATGGACTCCCTGATCCAGACGCCCAATAGGATTTATTTACTACTTGTCTGCAACTCCTATGCAGGTAGTTCACCGGCCATCGATACTCTCCATGTCCTGTTTAAGGTGGATCTGTTCTTTTTAATACTCCATCGAGTGTTGGTTATTCAGTGCCCTGTGTGGGGTGTAGGGCGCTCGATTGGGAGTCAGTACCCTGGGGTGCAGGTCGCTGGAGACCAAGGGGGTTGATAGCCTTGAGCAAAACGGGCGGACATAATGTGCTGCATAGATGTTTTTTCAACAGTCATCTTTAATGGCCACCTACCCTGGGAGTGTAGGCCATCCATGATTCTTTTTCTCACTGTTCCACCAGCTATGGGTTTGTGACCCTGGAAATCCTCTCCCGTTTAATACGAGGCCGAATGCACTCCCTACATTGTGACTACCAAGCGTTGACAGTGTGTTTAACGCTCACCTCTTCAGTACAGACCACAGGATAGGTCTAGTTGGTTTGGATATTGTGAGTTAGTAACCGTGTTGAAGAGTCAAATTGTGAACCCAACATTTCATACACACGCCCTTCTTGCGGATTGGTATAAACTTACTTGTCCGGCCTCGAATCATACAAGAAAATGAACTGGCAATGGTTCATGTCTGTAAGCCTGACCACCAACCGCGGTTTCGGAACAATCACCATTTCACTGACCTAAAACCAACCCAACCGTTCGCAAAGGTTGGTCTTCGCACTACAGAGTTGATACTGCGACAGTCGCCGCGCTTAGTCGACTTGAATCACACCGGTGAATCACTGTCTGTTGGCTCTTGGTCTTGATTTAGAGCTATAGATGCTTTCGGCCTCTTTCATACAGTGCCGATCGATCAGTTAATCACTTTGCCAAACAAGGCGCTTGCTTTGCATGTCTACTTGCAACCGTTGAGTGCGGCGCGGGTTTTCGGCACTTCACAGCAAATATCTCTCGTTCGGCTGTGCCACAAATGCTAGACCATTTCTGTATTTCCGGCTGTTTACGTGGCACACCAATAATGAGTGCACGAGGTGAGGATCTAGTGTGAGCAATTTTCAGTACGAACAAACGATGAACGAGACAAGATTCGGATCGTTGGAATACTGTTGAATGGGTGTAGATAACCGAGAATGAAGCCCAAGCACATGTAATGTAAACGAACGACCTTCCCCGGGGTCTTTGAGCGTGAACCTTTGGTCAACTGTGGATGAACATTGAAGATGAACTGTTGACCCATTTTGTACTGGTCAGTTATTGGGCAACGCTTACGGTGGAGAGCTCATCCGGCAAATGGGCTTTCGCTGGTTCGCTTCCTTCCTCGACGTTTGTTTTCCATCTTCACTATCTCTTTTTGTGACCATTCAAAGTTATTGAATACCAAAACGACAGCAGTCCAATGAAGGGTGATAGAGCAGTGAACCACACGGGGGTAGATGATTTCGCTTCCCTGGACTACAACCTGTTTTATATGCCTCAAACCGGGAAGTGAGCTCAGTGTAGTCTTTTTCTCCCCCGCACCATATTCAGCTTTTTTCCAGGAAACTGCTCTTCCGTAAAAATCATGTTCTTTTTTGCAAGGGAAGTCACTTTCCTACTTGGAAACCAGGCATAACTGGCTTTATTCTCTCAAATGAGAGATTAGGTCACCGCCACCCATAAGCTACTAAAAAACAGGATGGGAAAGTGACAACTAATTCTGACTTAGTTAGCCGCGAACAAGTGAAGCAACGCGGGATAACAAAATCGATACCTCCTTTAATGTAGACTTTGTCCCAAGCTAATGACAGTCACCTAATTATTCGTGATAAAAATAGTACCCTAAGAACAGTTTGTGTGCGATGAAATTTCTGTCTGCCATGAATGGTCTTTGAGATGATTGGTTGACAAATTGAGGCTGGCACTTAGATGAATAAGCTTCAACTAAACGAAGGTTCGGTGATTTTCCTATAATTACATTCTCCTTATCCCCCCCCACGCACACACACTTCCATGATACCCTTCACTTCGGTGGCTTTTCTTTTCGATACTTTGAGACTTCAGAATGCTTGCGGTGAGGCAGTAATAGACCCACTCTTCTTCCCTGTCTCTTTTAAGCCAAGGTTTCCTCAAATGGTGGTGCTATTGAGCTGCTCCATGCAGTTTCTTGTATGTTCGGACGCGGGTGGTATCGAAATGGTTGGAGGTCTCACATCTCTTTGTGATTAGACCCGAAAGCAGGACTAGCTCACCATGTCGTTTTTGTTTCCAACTTCCGGGTTAGACGGTACCGCTTATCCCCATGTCGCTGGTATCTTCATGTATATAATTAGAGCAGCTGACTATTCACGTTTACCGTGCGTTTTCGTAACAATCAATCAAATAATCTGAAAAAGCGACCTCACGTGACTGGTCGCATGCATCTCTCAATCGATACAATGTACAGATAAATAGCACGACCCGATGCCAGAATGTGCTTCATGTTTGTACCCTAACAGGGTTTGGCTGTTGTACCGCGGTTCTTTAGCCAGCCAACTTGTGCTGTCCAGTCCGACACGGTCATGCACACGCCTGTGCAGTTCAATGTCCTCATCAGGTGGTGATGTCTCTAACTTAAGGTCAGGTGTCTGCAACCAGGACAGGACGCATCGATTAAGCCGATCATCGTAGCGAAACCAAGTCTCGTGTATCACTTAGCTGCCCGCGCCCGTTTAATAGTTACAATAGAAATCATAAACGTCCGATCAATCGATATGAATCTTATGTGGTATTGTACACTGATCCGTTTCTGGTTGCAGAGTGGAATCAGCGGTTTTCTGTCTACCTTAAAAAGGATTGTCTCACTTGTGGATTGCCCTAGGTGATTCAGTAATTCCGATTGAGTGTTTTACAATGGGACTTGTCTCATTAGATCCTACCTTTGCTGCCCAAACAAGTGACTGTTATTTCGTTTATTCAACGGTGATAGAATACTGCATGTTCGACCCACAGAAAGCAACAGATTTTTAGTGTATAGCATTCAAAACCTATTATGATGTAGTGTACTGTGTAGCTTAGACATGTCCGGTTGGAACTGTAACGTAGCTCTGTCAGTGTTCAAGTTTCGTCTTGACTCATTCATTTTGAATTCTGTTACGAGGTCTGGTGTGTAGCATCACATGAAAATATAAGTTCTTAAAAAAAGGCTTACTGGTCGACCGCGTAGCCAACTAACATGCTATTGCACCTTGTGTTGCGTCATATGTCTGATCCACTCTGCTACTCACCACGATGATAGGCTGTTATGTATTCTTGTGTATTCTTTTGATCTTTCAAGCGACAGTGACGCTATTCCAAAGAGACTGCAAACCGGGCCTCCACTGCTGCTGCACTCTCATCGGGTTGTTTCACAAGCTGCCGCGGAGCGCTATGATCGTGATTTCATCCCCAATGTCTGTCTGATGCCCCCTCTGAAACCCAGGTCAATTGGTATATCGGGGCGCTTCGGACTTTCTTCTCAGAATCGGTATAAAAAGCGTCGTCCGTTTCGTAGGAACAGAAATGCTAGCAGCGGCTCACGGTCTTGCTCGAGTAGCGCCCATAGTTCTGGATCCAGCAGCAGCCGAACCCGTAGTGCTAGTGTCAGTAGTACAAACAGCAGTAGTTGCAGCTATGAGCGAGCAGGAAAGCGTCATTGCAACGGTCTCTCGCCGTTAACTAACACTGAGAAGCCAGGACGACGGCTTTCTTCACCTGGATCAGCGGTCGAAAATGCCTCCGTGGTCCTAGAAGACAGGTGCAAAGGATCACGAAAACTGAGCTATAAGTTGACGGAGAAAACAAAACCTCGAGCCAATTCCTGGACCGCACGAACTCGAATGCGTTCTCTCTCTCACACAAGCGATTCCGCCCGCTCCGATTCGGTCATAAGTTTGTACGATCAACAGCTATCAGCAGCGAAAAAACGCAGATCGCGAAGCTTGACCGTTCCACGAAATAAGTGTCTAGATGCAAATTCTTCATCTGATTCACGTAGCGCTTTGCCAGCTTCATTTAGAAGAAAAAGCACAAAACCTTCGTTGATGAGGAACGAGAATCTCAATGTCGACGAGCCAGTTGTCAATCAGACACATTCTTCCCGATCTCGGAAACCCAGTTACGCGAACCAGCAATACTCGTTTGATACACAATGGCAAGATCGAGCTATGGCTGCTGCGAAAGCTGCGCAGGGAGTGGCTAGTCGCACGTGCCCTGGGCTTTGGAGTCGACATTTCAGTAAGTCTATTTTACCATGCAAACAGTGTGTATATCTCCATTGTCTTACTTGTGAACCAGTTTTGCGATTAGGAAGCTTGATCGCTTCACACGAATTTGCCTGCCGTAAGCGGAGCAGGTGCATCGTTAGTCCGGTTCTTGGTTTCCACTGCACTGTTATGTAATTGACTGCGTTTGTCGTTCTCCCTGCTGACAACCAGGAATCCAAAAGCGATCCCGTTCAATGACTCGGGGTGGGTCATATGGTGGTCATATGATGGATATGAGCTATCACTGTTGGTGGCTTTTACGTCAACAATCCTAGCCGTTCATCCTGGGCCCAAACTTACACAAACATTCCCAATGCGTGTTCCTCAGAATAGCGCATTGGCATCGCCTGTTTATACAGGGATCATGCTCTTAGCCCCCACAATACTTTGAAGGCATTACGACGATATGAGCTCCGATGTCAGTGTTAATTTAAGTTAGACAATGATTGTTCACAGAGTCTTACCATCAAGTTTGCTGTCCTCATGCTGTAACATGCTGGTTGTGGTGCGCACAATCTACACAAACAAGTCGTTTGTTGAAGTTGACCGTACAATTTTCCGTCTTTACACAGCGAAGCTCTCTGAAACACGCCCCTAGTTCTTTCAAGTGTATCACCACTTCAAGTGCGGCGTCTTCATCTGATCTCCTTGCGCCTTCGTGCAAACCAAGAACTGGTTTAGCCTGCGTGGTGTCCAACCCCATGCTAATCGATCACTTTTTTCACTTTTGGACAGAACCACTCGTATTCTGTTGTAATCCCGATACACGTCTAAAACTGAAAATCCTTGATCATAGCCAATCACGACGTGATAGCCGTTAGCAATGGACCAAACATTCAGCGATTGTGTATAGGTGACTCGATGCCGTCCCATATTTGACCCGTCTCCTGTCAACATCCGTCAGACTCCTTTTCCAATTGAACCACGCAGCAGAGTGAATTATAATCACTGTGCCGTACAAGAACACACTAAAACATTAAAGTGGGAAGCACTGTGACTGTCACAACTGGATGAGAAGTTTGTTTAATCCACCACGAGCCCTACTGCCAAAACTTTCTCCCCAACATGACCCTAAGTTTGGATACGTCGATAAACTTTTCATGCAATCAACCATTGTAGTGGCCAATTGTTTCACTTTGCTTTGAATGTCCTAGCACGCTTTTTCGGACTGTATCAATCATGAAGCACTGGTTGCTAAGCGCCTTGACGAGCATACAAATAATTTTAAAGTGACAACGAAGCATCGCTTGTGTGTAGGCTTCAAGACTCTCCACGGAATGTTTCTTCTCACATGTATCCTTTGTTCATGGCGGTAGTTTTCCAACGCAATAGGAAGTTACATTGATTGTGTGTGATCATTTACACCCCAAAATGTTTTTTCTTTCTCAGCTAATTTGAACGGCTCAAACGGAGGACCGTTGAATCTTCCAAATGCGAGAGAACCTCCGGCTGCTAGTGACGTAAACTCATTGAGGTCAGAACATCACCACTCACAGTCGCGCGCTCATATGAGCAACACCCCCGTTCTGGTGACGAGCCCCACGAAGAACAGTCTCCCCACAGCAGTGCTCGCCTTGGAAGCGATTTGGGCAGACCTGGTGCGCCATATCAACGAGTACACAGTTGCAGTAGAATCACGAACAGGAGCAATGGAAGCGAGACAACGCCTGTTCGAGCAATTTATTACTATGCAGACTTGCTATGCCACACATATTGCGACCCTTGCAAACGAAAATCAGAAGCTTCTTGAAGTAAGACTTCTTTGTTAGGTCTTTTGAACAGTATCAAGCGAAATCCAGCCGTGTTAAGCTAGGGACAAATGTTCGTTTCAATAAACCTGACATTGGTATAATGAACACTCTACAGACTGAAAAACCAACATTCTTTGGCCAACAGTGTTGTCTGATAATGAAAGGAGGACATTACACGATTTGCTTACTCCCGTTATCAAGCTGGAAATGAATCTCGGGTCAAGTATCGTCGTACACATAAGAGTGTGTGGTTTTGTTGGAGAGTGGTATTTTGTAGAGCAGAAATGCACTCTGATCTACTTTGGTTCCGTTTGGCCTATATTACAAAAACTTGGTCCAGAACAAAGTGCTTTATGCTGATTTCCGACTTCAGGTTGACTTGTCTGAATACCCCTATCTGCAACTTATCGTTTCCAACTTTTTTTGTGTTATGTGACCTTGGTAGGGAACTTTCTTCGAAAAGTGCTCAGCACGAAATGCAAGAGTCCTGCTTTTGAGTACTTCCATAACAGCTTCAAGCGTTCAACTGATCGTGCTTTTTGCCATTTGGCCTTGATGGTCCCTCGGTAGATCTTACTTTCGGCGTTTTGACCATGTTATCTAGGCAATCAATCGAAAGGAATATGATTAAACCTTTTCCGTGGTATATCTTAGGGGCGTGTACTTGTTCTATATTTTTCAAGCATTGATTAAATTGCACTATGTTCGGTCTCATTATCTTTGTTGTTGGTAGTACTCCGAACGAGTTTGGGCGATTGAGTACCGGTTGAAAAATAATTTGGCTCGATTCTCCTGTTAAGTATGAGCTAACTGAAGCGTATTCATAGTTACGTATTTCTCTTCCTATTTTGAAATCCTGTAAGCAGTTTGTCGCACACACCACAACTTTCAAGCGGCTTCGTATCTCAATCGCTTAATGATCGCTTTGATTCGGACAACATCCCTTTTACGTGGTTTCTCAGCTTACAAACCGATGATGCGCTTCAACTTGGTAAATAAGACAATACGTATAAAGCAACCGCACTTGCCACTTTGGTTTGGGCTTAGCAGCCAATATCACTTGATAAAACCACTTGTGCTTATCAGACAGGTCGGTGATTCAGTACCTGAAGAGACGACGGTAATGTGAATCGGCGCTTAGATCACGCGGCACAAGCACACCCATGGTTTTGGGTGGATGATTGGTCATGTGAACTTTCGCTGTCAGCGTTGAGTGCTCAGAATAGGGTAAGCTGCCTTGATGAGATCAATTGCAGATCTCTTCACTCGGTTCAGTCATTTTACCCTAGAGAACCAGTATTTCCCAGTTGGTTTTCCAACGGGACCAAGGTGTTGCAACTTCGACCGAAATACGGATTCACTCTCATGGAAATAAATAGATTGCTTTCACGGTCCGATTCTGCGAAAACCAAGTTGCCACCAGGTAGGTATTTTCACGGTCTGCACACTGGCACACATCTGAACCAAGACACACCACGCCTCTGATCTCATCTCGGTTGGCGAAGCTCGGCGAACGATCCTGTTTTCGAACATGCCGTTGATCCGTTTGTCCAGACGCCAGAGGTATGACTATCACGATACTCCTGGATGTGTTGTGCACATGACAACTTCAGATTATTGTAGATGTCAATAGTTATTCATCTACTGTCCTTATATACCCCCACATTGTTCGATACCACACATTCTAAAAAGCTTATCTTCCCGGTTGCACAAATATAACTAACTCATTGTCTATTTGCTATTGAGCATAAATTCTGTAGGAAAGTGTTCAAGACGTTTCTTGCTTGTTGCAGGCGCACATCAATCTATTCTTTTTCATTGCAGTCATATGTGATCTTTGATGTGTTTTGTAGTTTGTATTCTCATGCCCCCAAATCCCAACGCCATTGGAGACCTCTCATGGATGTTCTCAGTGTACGACAATCACCCTGTGTGTGAATTCAGCTCAAAACCCTATCGTTGTCCTTTATTTTTCGGGAATCAGCTCAGCGAGTGGCACCGCAGTCAAATTTTCTACATTAGCCTAACTTTTTTCTGTTCGACTCTTCGTCTGTGTGAGCAACTGCTCACCAAGACGTTTTTATCCTGGTTATATTCAGTTGTAGTGTGAGGAAGTTCGATAATGTGAGGGTATATTTTTACTGAAAACTTCGTTTTGTAACGAAAGCCAATCTATGCTGAAAAGGCTCCTGGCTAGTAGTTTGAACACAAGCGTTCGTCCTGTAGAAGGGTGAAATCCCCATTGAAAATTTCCCCGGTATCTTTCATCCCTATTCTCTAAGCCATACCCTGGCCGCCTCTTTGTCTGAGCCATTGGATTTGCTGGGAGGAACAACTATATTTACTGTGGTCAGTTATTCAATATACTTGGCGTACGCCGGGCCCACCTCAGATGAGTTTTCCATAGAGGTTCTGAGTCTCGCCTACTCAGTGATCTGGATCTCTTGTTTGCAGTTAAAACGAACCCATTATACTAGCTGAGAAGTTTGTTGAATGGACGTTTTCCAGTGTTATATTTCTTGAAGACCATGTAAACCGCTGCTTAATGGAGCAATTGGTTTCGTTCAGTGCACTACATAGTCTTAGTTTGTGTGAGTTACCAGTACAAACTTCTCCGTACTACCCGGAACTAGAGAGACCCGCTAAAACTTCATTACCTGGTAGATATAAGTTAATTTGGCATTGGTGTTATTTTCTGAAATAAGCCGAAAAAATTGCCCCTGGGGAGTATTTTGTGTCATATTTTAACACGCTATTTCATTTCACCTAAAGGCTAAAAGACAGTAAGATTGCTCTCAGTGCATTGCGTTGATATTTTACCTTCCTAGGCGGTTGTAGCTCCCGAACAACAATTTCAAAACGGGTCGACTGAATTGTGGATAGTCTGTTGACTGAATGAAATGCACTCATGGGTTGGTCTCACCACAAGCCTGTTTGACATGTTGACTTCGTCTGTCCACCTTGCTGCTACTGTTGGTATCCTGATGTCCCAGGGAAATGGAGGGTTGATACAAAGACCAACACTCTCAGTCTCGATGGCACTTCTACCGACGTTTCTTGTCCCAGCAAGATTTTATCACTAAGCGACAGCGTGGGTTTCTGTGTTCTGGACTATCATTAATATATCCAAGTATACGTACGTACACGCGAGAACTCTTTGTTAGGATACGCACTATCCAATATCTTGACATGGTAACAACATGTGTTATCCTTCGGCATCTGTCACATTCGGGTTTCCATGGGGGCTGCATGTTGATCGAAATCGAAACAAACAGTGATGTGCCTTGCCTCTCCCCTATCACCTCAGATGCAATCATGCAGTCTGGCTCATGTGGTGATGGACAGAGAGTTGTGTGCATGATCCTCTTGAGATTTGTTTGGATTAGTATGCGCAACTCGATACAAGTTTTTGTCGGTTTATCGAACTTCGCTTGAAATCTCGGTCCGAATGAATGAGATCCGTGTTCCAACCCCTTCAGGTTGGAGGAAACACTACTCATAAAGAATATCATGAAAGAAAGGTTCACTTGAATCTTCAGGTAGAACCAGATTAGTTTGTAACTGAATCTATTTCGCTACTTATCGACTACATTTCCTGCTAAGCTTTATGATATTACTTGAATTTTTCGTCCTCTCTCCTTGCCTCTACACTTCTCATTTTCTAACTTAGTTAATCTCCTTCTGAGTTATGGGTTACTGTCACACACAGTACGAGAAAGGATGGGATTTGCACTATCATCTTTCAAGCAGCTTGTCCTGCAGTCTGTGGAACACGTTTCTATCCGACCACTAATTTGACTTTCTTCTTTGTTTGCCTTGTAGAAACTGGCTGCACTGGAGAAACAGCAAACACCCGCAGCATCCACTCCAAAAACACCGACCACTCCACAGGCAAATCAGCCCGGTTTCGGACAAGATTGGAATAGGAGCACAAATTCCGCCAAACAGCATGTACAAGGTTACACACCTTCAAGTGTACCCGCCTCTACTCCTCAGATAACCAGTCAATCGACTTCGCTTAGCATTTTCCCTCATCGAAGTAGAAAAGAGGTCAGTGACGGTTGCTTTTCCTCTCGACGTTGAGGTAGTCTATCCTTCTCCGAAATTCCCTTGGTGTCAGCCGTAAAGAATAGTTGATTTCAGAATTGTGGCTGATTGTGCTTTCTTGTCGAGTTAGGCCTAGTTTGTCGCACTACGAAGTCACAACGATACTTGGTTGAAAACCTAAACAAAAACAACCCAGTTTTTTAGTCTACCGTTTTTTTCCAATGTCATAGTTACGTCACGGTACGATGACGAAACCAAATGGAAAAATATACTCATAAGAACGAGACAAACAGCACTTTGTTGCACGAATTAGCTCATTCTTTTGTGGGGAGTGTACATTCTTCACCCGTTTCGCCATTGTCTCTTGTAACTTCGACATATCTGTCGATAGGACTAACATGCGTCAACACACCACGTACACACATGGGTTGCGTCAACCGATCCTAAAATTTCCTGCGTTATATGTTTTCTAGCAACCTTATGGAGTCTTAGGTCTGGCGAAAATGAGGTCTGTTAAAGGCTGGATGTTCCGTTTGGTGGACACATCGATTTCCGTCCTGATCACACAATTAGACACGCATACACGATATGGATGCGACCTGTGCAACACTCACTCACTCACTCACTCGCACGAACGCAACGCTGCAAATTAGCTAGATGATCGATAGTGTTGTCTGGGTTGCCGCTGTTGGGTGAAAACATTGTTTTGGCTGATTTGCCAACAATTTCTCGCTGGCGTTTCGCCGCAACACCACCAGAGTGTCTGGTCTGGCTGTCCCTTCGACGAGAGTTCGATTGTCTGAGACTGGCAGAGATTTGTTTTTGTCGGTTTTGTACCCTTTGCAGCCCGTCACCACAGGGAGTGTATAGACCGCCTTTGAAAGTTCAGTTCTATGGTTTTGGGCTTTGAAAAGTAGTGTACCGGCTAGAAACTTCGCTTTGTTCGGATGGCAATACTATTTATATCGAGTCTAGTTCTTGTGGCAGATTATGAGATATTACTTGAGCTGCTCCCAAATGCAAACCGGTCTTCTCATGTGCCGCCTCTGCCGAATAGTTAGTTATAAGAAACTTCCAACACGTGTTCTATCCTTTATACCACAACACTACCGAAATCCTCTGGAGAGCTTCAGTAGTATTTTGCCACTGTAAGTCAATTCGCACCAAAAAAGCATCATTCATCTTGTCGTAGGCTCCACAAGTGGCCAACATATTTGCCAAAACAGACTCGTCGTCTGTTTTACAAAGCGGTGTTATCAAATGCCAGGTCACAGTAACATGAGCCTAAAGATTGAGACTAAAGAGAGGAATGTGGAAGCGAATACGGGAAGTCTGTGACGTTGACGAAATTCACCTTGCAGTGTTGTTATGCTTCTTTTTGACGACACCACAGGACTTTTACCGACCGAGGCCACAGTTCTCCTTGCCGACAAGATTACCATTCAAGGTTTGGGTGATTCAACTCTTACTAACTAACACCATGTTGCCCATCTTGACCGACACTTTCATCGTGAACAGTTACAAATAGGAATTTCGTTCAGAACTGTCATGGTTTGTGAGCTTCCGTCCTTGAGATTTCCAGAAATTCTGTCCTCCTTGTTACGAATCCAAACATACGTTTCAACAAGCTGAACAAAATGTTGCCAGTCATAAGAATGGCGTCATGAAAGATTACTCTTCTGTTTGACAGAAAGTGACAGTCTTTAGGTGAATAATTTGACCAAATGTTGGTGCCTTTCGGTGACAGCCATGCTGTCAACGCGATTCTGCCGTCTTTACGACGTGACAGTGAACCGGATTTGACAACGAGTAGATCAGTGCTTTGACCTTTCATTTATCTGATCTACACTGAACTTAGGAGCATGTTCTAGTGGCTGAACAAATGAATCGCTTGTCTGGCTGTATGTGCTTGTATGTGTACGTTTGCGTACAATGTACACTGTCCCACAGGCAGGTTTTTAGGAGTGAATTGTTCTCCGTGGTTCATAAAGTGCCAGACAAAGACGGCTCTGCGCCACTACGCGATTCGATCTTATCTAGAATCAGTACATATCCATGTAGCATGACCCACCATGAGTGGGGAGAGCTACCCGGTGGTAGTTAGTCCAGTTTATCCGATGGAATTCAATGCCTGCATAGACGGATTCAAATTTAGACCTGCGCGGTTTTGTTTTTTGATTCTCAAAGCAACCTAACCAGCTTTATAAGCATTCCCCCTCCTTGTATTTGGTGAACATGGCAGTTACTGCAAGTGTACTAGGTTCTGTAGGTGTTTCAAATTTACATTGTTGATTTTTGTCCTACTGAAATACAGGCCTGTTGTGGTCTGCTACGTAAGTACACCAGTAAGTCAGACTTGATCAAGAGGCTGAAACAGCAGTTTCTGACGTGTGACAATTACTCAAGCATCCATGCTGTAGAACTTAATGAAAACCGGTGCTTTCAATTCTGGAACAAGCGGCGTTCCATGTGAGAAGCAGGAAGACAAGAAGCCGGAAGCTTGTGCATCGAAGTCGATATTGCGGTCAGGAGAAATTTCCATACAACCGAATGGTATCCTTCGGTTTTGTATTGATACTGCGCACGAGACGACGCTTTTCTAGAACAAGCGGGTTCCATGTGAGAAGCAGGAAGACAAGAAGCCGGAAGCTTGTGCATCGAAGTCGATATTGCGGTCAGGAGAAATTTCCATACAACCGAATGGTATCCTTCGGTTTTGTATTGATACTGCGCACGAGACGACGCTTTTCTAAGGTTGATCTAAGTGCCTTACACCGGATTACTTCCTGCTACAACCAAGGATATGCACTGCTAGTGAGCTCTAATGAAATGAAACTTGAGCCACTCTTCCCTTTTTCTGTTGTGGACTCACCACAATAGTCGCACCAGAACAAGAGGAGAACTATATGAACAACAGCGATCTGAATATGAATTCTACAATTCCCCTAATCATCTACGACTAAGACTGCTCGCTATTTTCGCGCAATCACAAGGCTGGAGTACCTCATTCGCCCGCTGTCGGTGTTTGCCATCAGGGTTCGCCATCTCCCCTGGGCTGACAACTGGTTTGTCAACCTGGTTGAAGTCCAAGACACCCGCTCTCGCTCCTCACTTTACTGAAAGCACCTCAGCCACAAGGGAACAGTGTGTAGGACTCCCTCAGCAGAGTCGGCGTGAGTAGCAGGATGATGTACTTCGAGGGGGACATGGGGGCGCCAGATCAGGCCATTTTCGTCGCGAAATCCAACTCGTCTGCACTAGAGTATTAGGGGTCATGTTTTTTCATCAGTGATAGGTAAGAGGAGTTTAAGAATTTTTGCAGAATGCAACATGTTTTCGACAAGGTGGGATAGCCGAGTGCTGGACCAAATTACAGATTAGACAATGCTATGTTCAGCAGGCTGATCATGCATACAAGTCTTTTCGGTGCACACAGTGAAAGGCTGTGCAACCGGTCGCTGATAGCCTCAGAACACTGATCAAGTTCATTGTAAAATTTACTGTTACACAATACAGTACTATAGTTGCGGGGTTCAGCTTGCATTCGACAGTGATTGTCTGTGATAAAATACTGATCTGATCGTTAATTCGAAATCATAAAAACTAAACTTGTATTGGTACTCAGTCTGAACAGTTACGTGGATACAAAGTAGGCCTTCAGTGACCGGTGAAAACCAACTTACAAGGGAAATAGAGAGGAATAGGGAAGTCCCTAGGTCAGATCTGCCTAGAATTACCCATGTGGAAACACGCAACTGGGATAGGCAAATACAGACAGCTCCGGATAACTCGATACGCCCGGGGCACAAAAAATTGACCGAGTTGTGTGAGTTTGGATGGGACGGTGGGATGCAGCTGAATCGCTTGTCCCACCCTCGTCTATCTCACCAAAATGGGTTTCAGCGGAGTAGTTCAGCAATTGTCAAGGTAAACCAACCGTTTGTTGTCCTTATGGATGCTTCATGTTCCAGACATTTTCCAACCCCGAGAGGCGAGACAACCACGAAACAAGTCTGGGTAACGTTTCTCAGGCGCGTGAAGTTCTCGAAGGATTAAAAACCAGCCGGCTTATCACCTCTCCTAGTAGTAGCAGTAGTTCTGACGGGAAGACATTGACATCCTTTATTGCCGAAAAAGCGTGACTGCTTACAACTCCCGATGATGCTATGGAAGGATGCTGCGGGAAGCATGCACGGGTGGTTTGCAGTTGACGGAGTCCTTTCAATTACCGTATTCTTCTAGTTCGCGTTGAATATGTTTGGGGCTCGTTTACATTATCGAAAACTGTGGAATCAAATGTGGTGGTCTCATACAAGGAGGAGAATAATTCCTTTATCGCCAAAGCCTAGACAGGGGAAGTCGAGAGGCAGAGGTCGGATTCGGAACATGGAGCTTCCGGTCAGTTCTAACCACTGAACCATCTCGCCATCGCCAAAAGTGGCTGATCAGCAACGATGTGATTGGTTCCGCAGGACATAGGGAGAATTTTTTTCCGAGCGGGTGATTCACGTGGTGTGGAAGGCTCATTCAATTTTTGAATTGCTCCCCTTCCTGGACAGGTCTTACTTTTTTCAGTTATTGGACGGACACATCCGACGGTGTGACATTTTAGTTCAATCAACAGGTTTTGTGATCCCCCTGCGGACCTTTTTGAAGAAACCGTGCGGTCAACCTCTGTGTCATGGGTTACCAACCATTGTTTTACTTTACTAATTGCTATGTTGGGTACGTGTGAAGTCTTTCGAAATCGATTTTTATCCAGACTGCAGATACATATCGGGTGCCGAAAATCCGAGTCGAGTAGCTGATTACAACACAGTGGAAGCTGTACCCACTCAGCAATTGGTTGTTGAAACCCTTTTGAAACAGCTATTGGCAACAGCAAGTCGATACAGTTCAGACAATCCTCATGTGATAGAATTTGGCCAGTTTGAATACAGCTGCCTCGCGCTTGTTTCACTCAGTTTTGTCGGGCCATGTCGCACCAATTTTCTTTATGGTGCACTAGAACAGTATTAAAATTGTCTGGTGGTCGACGAATCTTCCTCCAACTTCGCTTTCTTGCGAACAAAAACCATTGTTTTTCACTCTGTCGTTTGTGGACCAGCCATCACCGTCGTAGGCTGATGCACTTCTGTGTGTGTGTGCACACACAGTGGCTAGCACATGATCAATCGATTGGACACCACAGTACCGGTACCGTGTCTTTGTCTGGGTGAATTTGAAATAAGGTCATTCTGTCCAGCTAGCCTCTGGCTGGTTGCCATATATCAGCAGTCCTCATTTTTCGCATGTGCGTTCACCAAGTACATTTTACGACAGCATCAAGCGTAAAGATTTGGTCTGAGGATAGTTGTCTTGTTTTACGAGAGTTCATGTGATTTCAAGCTGTGCCATTTGGTTGCCTAAATTGTAGCGTGCTGTTTCAAACCCCGTCTAAGGAACTGCTTGGACCCTAGTAAATTTATCGGTACTTTCAAGTCAGAGGCGTCTGGCATGTATTGAACCATGTACCTATCTGTCGTCCGCTGATAAGGGACCCGAACATGTATTTTGACACCACAGGCGGTATTTCGTTCAGTACAGTGCTCAGCAATCGCAGCGAGTAGGTTGAATCAATCTCATGGCACGAAAGCAGTAGCTACTTCAGCACGCCTGCTGAATATCTTCGCCGATATCTACACGTCTCTGCTCTTCGAACCTCGTTGTCCCTTCCCATATATGATCCATAAGGAGAAACACCACCTTGGTAGATTGGTTTTAATCACAATGGGGCCACATGACAATCCGTTTCGCTACCTCAAGTATCTTCTCTAGACTTCTAGTTTTTGTAGTCAGATGCGAGACACTTTCACTTCACCGGCTCATTAACCCCGCTAGAACAGTGTTTGGACGATAAAAATTACATGGTTTTTAAAAACACATTCCAGAGAGATGTATGCTCTTTAAACTACTGGTTAACAGAAGATACTATATTAAACTATTCTGTAAATTATACTGATACTGTTGGGTTTCCATGAGACCGTCTGTGCTGGACCTATTTCTGTGTTAATCGTGCTTGTGTGTATAGAAAACATTACTGAAAAAACTAATTACGTATTCTCAACACTGTTGGATTTACTTACCCATTCTTCACCTTGTTTGTTTACACAGTCCACGAGAATGTTCCCCGATCATAGGGGCGCTCAAGGTGCTGCCAAAACAGGAAGTTCTGCTGGTCGGTACATCGGAGGCCCGGAAAAAGAAGTCATACCTCCTGCTCCCCCAACCAAAGAGGTCAGCCTCCCAATAGCTATGAGTGGTGCCAACCAACACAGATTCGTCGCTAGTCCGAACTATACTACAAGTTCCTCAGATGACACAAACCAAGCATCAACTACACCTACTGCTTCTGAAACGGATGGTTTAATTGCAGACAATAACAACAGTAACAGGTACAGTGACGAGTACCTGAGCGTTGTTGAATCGCGTGCTTCTGAACGTCCCCGACACACCAGTCCTCCGTATACTTCAACATCCGGTAATTCTAGCCAACCAATCCGTGCCTCAACAGACGGGCACCAATCACTCAATCCAGAAACCTCGTCAGATGACACTGACAGTCGACCTGTGGATGGCAGTGTTTCATTCAGTTCGACAATCCATCGACGTCGCTCTCTTTTGCCACCCTGTGAAGAACGACCCCGAATGTCTTTGAAGCCACATTCGCGGTTACTGACACGATCTTAGTTGTTAACCCCCGACCCACTAATCCGTGCGAGTCCTGATTGTACATACATCAATATGACGACCTGATCATTCCTGTCGGATATGTCAAGTGTTTTAGAGTCTAACAACACCCGCGCCAACGCCCGACCGACAACCAAGAGGCGGAGAGCAGCTGAGCGAGTGCCGCACACATTCGGCACATACATCTCTTGCCCTATTCTTACGCTGTGATCGTTAGCCAACTTCTTCTCCATGTCTGTTTTCCTTGAGTTTGTGCGAGAATTTTGCCATTTTCCCATCTATGTGATACAAGTTCAACTACAACGACTGATTTTGGATGACTCCCATTTATCTCACTCCTGGGATCGGTTAGGTTGATGGGTGTCGGTTAACCCTCCTACTCCACCATCTCCACACAGACGAACCTCAGTTTATCGTGCATTTCACGCGCCTGAACTCAGCAGTGAGTGTCCCAACTTTTATGTGACTGCGCTGACGATAAGATTCTTTTTCCGACCCACCCACCCCCCTCCTTGTGTCCGTGTTCCTCCACTTATCGACAATAGTAACAAGCACTCCCAGCTGTGTATTTCTTTCCGCATGTTTTTTTCCTTAAGACCGTCACGAAAATACGCGTAGTTCATTAGCGAATGCCCGAAATGTTGATTATTTTTTCACCTTAATTAGTTGCGTCACAGCTTCGCCGCTGGACTTCGCCACTAGTGTTTTACGCACATGTCTACAGACACTCATAGAGACACACACACATATACGCAAAGTTGCAAGGAGTTTCTAGACAGTCTGCCTGACATGTTTCGAGCTTGTGATTTATCACTCACTCACTCACACTGCCTCCGTTTTTTGAGCATAAGTCGATGGCCCGTCCTCCCATTCCAGGACCTTTTTCTCTTGCCTAGCTGTTTTCCTTTTTTCATTGTTTCTCCGCGTACAACTGCTCGATTCTTTCGTTAATACTAGTACTATCACTAATAGTATGCATTGTGCTGTTGTGATCCAGTCATTGTGTTCTTGGTTCCGTGTGTCCCTCTCTCTCTCTCTTGTGTGTGTGTCTGTCGCTCCGTGGCGACAAAGTCTGTGAGGGTTCGCTCTAATTAATCGCTGAACCCTCATCCACACAACCCCATACCTTACAAACCATGTTTGTTCTCAGACTACACACACACAAACCAACTCTCAGTTACCTTTACTTTTTTGGTTATGAGATCTATTCAACATATTTTTACTCCATGTTTACCAGGGTTATTCAGACTGATTTGATGCGTCGGTTCACTTGCCCGAATTCGAACGCCGGAGTATCTTGGCCGTGAGATATTTCGGCTGGTTACTCAGCGGTCGTTCGTCTCTTTCACACACTTTCTTTCTTGGTCACGCGTAACTTAGTCCTCTACTATCGTTCGACTCTGTTTCAAATTGTCACGCACTGTCGCATGAGTGTTGACTCTGTATTACACGTGACCGTGAGTGATTGTCGGACTGTATGCGCCAGATGCTTGTCCTACACAGTGTAGTGCGATTTTTGTTTACCATTGTGTAAGCATTCTCAGGATGCACTTATTTTCCCCGTTGCTTTCCCAGTTATCCTACTTGTCGCTCTCAGGAATACCGTTCTCTCTGTAACCGTCTGCTCATTTGAATTTCATGATTGAGGGTGGACAGGGATTCGAATAGCTACTCGCATTAAAAACTTGTGAATCAAACTCATTTTGGGATTTAAGGCGTTAGGGGTACCGTTCGTTGGTGAACTGTTAGCGGCAGCCACTTGACGTTGTGGGATACACTGGTTAGGTGTGCAGTTTATTTCGTTGCCCTGGCTCATTTTGATATGACTCAGCCTACAAATTCCAACAGACCATATTTCCCGTTACGCAATAATCTAGGAGCTTAGTGCATCTCGATCGTTTCAGTTGCTCACCTTATGTATTGGTGGTTTTCAACCCCGTTAGGAATAGATTGTATTCCTGGGGCAATTCCGGCCTCTTTACAACGTGCACAAATTCCAAGGATTCTTTCAGTAAAGCGGAGCTACCATTGGGCCGATGAAGATATTTGAGGGCTATCCTGTATAGTGTGGCGAAATTCACTCCATTTCAACACTATCTCAGATAATTCAAACACTGTGCGGATGAGGCCCAGGTGACAATAGATATCGCAAAACAAAACTGGTACATTCGTGGCCGTAGTTGCAACTGATAAAGCCGAAGACAGAAGGAATGCTCGCGTCAGTATCGAGCACCCAACATGAGCTGGTTTCATCTAGTAGTGAGTGACTGGGTACACGCACTCACACTATATGTTTTATTCAGGTTGTAATCGCAATGAGACTACGCCTGTGTCCAATGGATCTGTCCAGGAGGTGCGGCCAGTAACGCATGGATAGATTTTAGAATTTGTGGCAACGTATCGATGCAGTGCCGGGATAGACAATACAGACAGCACATTTCTCATACGAGGCTCCTCCGTGAGACATTAGAAATTCCAGGGGGCCTGCATGAAAATTCCCAGTAGTACAACGAAGAACAAAATGCGTCTTCAGGTCGTGCGGGGACGCCGAATGTAAAGGCTTCCTACTCTGCAGCAGTTACAGTGGGACAAGCTAAAAAGTTAGCAGAGATTATGAATTGACTTTCAGACGATGGGGACGCCCTTACCATTCAGTTAACCGATCCGCCACTTTACACCTGAATGGCGAGTTGTACACAACTGGTTTTCAGACTGGGACCACGTCGTCACACGTCTCCTCAAATCGGAACCAAGGATGAGTTGATCGAGCAGGTATTTCGGGACTAAAATTATTGAATCCTCTTTTCTTCCCGGATAGTTCGACCGATAGGTGCTGTTGTTAGGGTCTAGTTGATCTTCTCAGTGGTGTTTCCATAAAAGCGTCTGTTACAACACCAAGTAATGTGATGGCTGCAGAAGCGAGCCAAACCAACGGTAGGTTCGTTGCCTCAATGCATTTTAGTATCTGCATTTCAGCTGACGAGTGGTCTAGACTAGTCAAGTAATGTTCAATGTGCGCAAATCAGAATGGTCATATAGTCAAGTTGAGGATGGCTTCCTTCCCAACAAAGCGTAGGGAAAGTTGACGCTACTGGAAGACAAGCTAATAATGCATTCTCAACACTCCAAGCGCTGTACGCAACAACTAATTTGCGTTTAGGTGGCTGGTTTCGGTCCCAGTTTCAGGAGTTTTATGAAATCATGTAAATGACTGCTGGAGCCGTTTGTGTTTGCAGGATCAATTGCGTTTTCCCAACTGAGGTTTCGTCCTGTAAGTGAGGCCAGTCTACGTTGAAAGGCCGAGAAGCACTGTACAGCCGTTTCATCTTTATTGGGAATCATCAGGAGTTCGCATCTCGTGAAATTCTAGGGACTTTCGGACCCGTGATCTTCTGGCAAGTAGCTCGACCGCCTAATCATTCGGCCACTGAGTGCTTATCAGCATTATGAGTACCTTGCGCATAGACAGAATATAGTGATTCACGACCTTTGATCACGGAGCCAAATGTATTCCTGTGTTCACGAGCTGCTGACCGCGAGGCCGAATTCCTTGTGCCCATGTTTTCATTCCATCTCCGACTGCATGCTCAGCCCGTCTGCCGAAGCTTCCGTTTTCTTGTCCATAATTCAGAACTGGTTTTGCACCCGTTTAACAAAAGTAATGCTTTTTTCCTGCAGTCGGATTTCCTCGAATCGTGCTCCTATTCGTGCAGGCCCCTCTCGGGTCGACTAGCGAAGCACTTTTTATTGCAATGCTTATGCGAATGTCTTAATCCGAATCCGAGACTATAAGGCTATCGAGGGGGCATTCTATGGAGGTTTTCACTGATGTAAAGTAGAACATAAACATGTATATAAACGTATTTATGAACGTATGAACGTCCGGATGTGCCGGATCGCTGCGATATAGGGATGGAACAAAAGGCATTTAGTTAAGACAATCTGTTAATGTCACTTGTCGAGGCCAGTGGCCTGTCTTTTTCAGTCATTGGTTAAATGTCTACTAAACTGAAGTTCGCTGGGAGTCAAACGAACTTTAAATAAGAATTTTACCAACGCTGTTCATCAACAGAATGCTCGGCGTGAATATTGCTTCGTTCGATCAGTTAATTGCATGTTCCTCTACGTGTCGTCAGCGACACTGATTCTCCTTCAAATAGAACAGGTAAAAACTACTTCCGCCAATATCCGTTTTTGCTACTGAAGCACTTTCAAGCAGGTGGTCAGAGGTTCAAGTTCTGTCCAATAGCCTTTACCTCTTCCTTTATGTGATGTATTCATAGGCATTGTCGAACTCCGATCTCTTCCATATTAGGCTGCCTATACGGTGAAATCCCCACCAAAATAGGCTAGGGACGGCCAAATGAATCATTTTATGAAAGCCAAAGTAGCTCAGTGTCCGGTTGGTCGAATAAGCCCGACGAAGCATAGTTTCGCCTGCTACTTTTCTCAGTTTTTCACTCTAGCTCGTTCAACAACATAAGACAGTTCATTTGGACGTTGGTCTTCACAAGGAGACGACTAAGCTATTCCTAGGTGCGCCGTTTCCTGGCCAGGGTTTAAACTTGGCCCTCTGAACCAGCGTACGCGGTTTTTCCAGGATTTTGATCCACACCCCATTTTGGGGGTTCGCACTTGAAATTTCATTTTCAATAATAACCCACTTGAAACAGATGCGTTATGCTGAGGTGCTTACCCCACACGAGCAAATTTGTCAGGAAAGTTGACCACAATGTTGTCCAAGAAGTACGCGTAGGTTGTCTGGCATATTGCAGATAATGCAGATGTCTGTCTCCGTGTGAAATTTCAATGAATGCTAACAGTAAACACGTGGCTTGTATTGACTCCTGATCTGGTCTGCTGCCTGAAAACCTTGATGGAGCAGGCTCCAAGCCAGCTGGACGCCGTGTGTCTCTGGAAATTTTCTACATGAGTTGATCTTCTCTTTAAAAGGTGTCGCTCCTTTTTACTTAGGCTTCTATTGTACGTCAGTTCGCTTACATTGACAGTTTCGAAAGGATGTGGCCAGGAAGGCCATGAAGACTTTTACTCTATCTCATCACATGTATACTTGTGTTCAAGTTTGCAATCGTCAAAGGTGGTAATCATTCGTTTCTTGAAGGTCTTAAAGTCAGTGAACATTTTAGATGATGCAGGATTCTCCGTATGGTCACTTGTGTATCTCTGTGTGTAGGTTTCTAGCTGCCATGCCACCCGAAGGAAGCACGAGAGCTGGGATACTGCCAGGTTGCCCAAACCTAGACAGGGGAAGTCGAGAGGCGGAGGCCATGTTCGAATCACCAACCTTCCGGTTAGTATATTCGCGCTCTAATCACTGAGACATCTCGCCCGCTGTGTATCCTCTGTCACATGACTTTCTGATCAAATTAGACATGATGTCTAAACCACAAGTTATGCAGACCACTTTTGGTCCAGACTTTCTTTAGATGGTGGTATCGTTAAAATGATCTTTTCAGCTTTCGAAAAATAGGTGGATTCAACCAAGGAACCCAGCCACTTTTATTTACTCGATGACATCCAAACACTGACAAGGCTTATTCACTTCTAAAACGGTGACTGAATCTGCTGATCTATGTAATCAATCAAACACAGTTATTTTGCTGCGAAACTCCCCATGTTTCCGCACACTACCCATGAGAACCCAGTTATTCCGTTGGTTCCCGGTGGTCTTTCCTGAATTCGTCAGATTTTGGGAGCTGTTATTCTTAGGAGGAAAAGCTAGGACGGGAAGATTCACCAAGATGGACTGGTTCAATTCCGTTCTAACTACATAGGAAGAAGACTGCACAATAGTCTAGAAATCAATTTATGCAAATAGTGCACCCTAAAGATTGTTTTCGTCACCCAGATTCTCCAGACAAGTCGAACACGGTCTAAGTACGCCAAAACAACCTTATTGTTCAGCTGATCAGACAGACACAATAACAAGTTCAGGGATGGTGTAAAGTTGTCGCGATAACATTCATTGGATGAATAGGACAACCTTATCTGATTTAAGTTTATCTTCTGGAAAAAATGGAACCACGTAGCTGCTTTACGAATCTGAAGGGCGGCAAGAGAATAATACGGGTTTTGTCGGAAATCTATGGACAACCGCAATTCTGTACTTCTCCCAAAATAAGATCATCATTGGAAAGAATAGCTGTATCTTGTTTAGGAGGATCCTATTGCGGGCAGATGAATTCATTTAACTGTTGTCGTATCCCGTTGTTGTCGACTGGGGTAGATTTTACCCTACTTGTTATTCGATCCCGGATTCTGATGTTAAATCGTGAGACGTGTCAACCAGGCAGCCAGGTGCCCTCAGTAATTGTGCACATTCAATTTTAACAAAAGACGATACCACCCTGACCACACACACACACCGGAAATAGAAACTGTTATATTTCAACAAGAAGCAGTTGACAAAATAAATTTTATAATGCCATTTAAAGGACACTTTCAGTCGCAGGCCAAAAACCTACAAAATTTTAAAGTGTAGCGCTCCAGCATACGAAAGCTCCTGGACGTCGGTTTCTCCTGTCATTGGGGAGTGAGATTGGATAGGATGGGTTATTGGTACAACGACAACCAATATACTCACTTATAAGACGCACCTAGTCGTTCCAACAGGTATAACTCCCACACAATAGTCCTGTGCTGACAAGTTTCATTTCTAATCCTTAGGTAGCCGAGCACATTCCAAATGTAGGCTGATGTAAGCATTTGCACCAGTATGGGAGAGTTTCAGCTCACTTCATTCCCCTCTCCCTTACGTTTGTTCTCAAAAGCAGAATGTTAACTATTAACTTGTATGCATGCGCTTTACTTGTAATGAATGTTTCCACCTACCTGGCAAGCACAACCTCATAAGAAGAAGTGTAACCTCCGCTTTGTGGGGTTCTACAATTGGGAGTTCCCGGACAGTATACTCAGCGCCAAGTGTTATCTGACACCCTTTAAGGACTTCAGAAGGCCCACGGCAATCGGGTTACCTAGTTTCGTGTACTATAGATCCATTCCTGGGAATCCCGTCAGTTGCTATCCTGTATGTTAAAGTATTTTTTAATACCGCTAGAATGCTCAGTTTAGTTTGGCAAAAACGCTTTCCTAGATGTACTATTCCCTTTTGCGACTGTTCGTCAATGAGAGGAATGACGTTTACACAAACTTCAGGCGAATTCTTGCATTTTCAGTGATGAATTACGATAGCAGAACAGATCGAAATAAGCCCCCTGGTTTACCAAACGTTTATGCTCCAGAGTGAAATTTCGGATCGATAAGCCGTTGAGAAATCTTCACCTCACATAATTGTTTAATTAGTATTTGCCCGCGCAGTATTTTTTCCCTAGATATACGCCGGATCTCGGTAGAACTCGTTTGAAGCACAGATAAAGATTGATTTGCTTGAGACCAGAGTGCCGTTGTAAGTTTCAGTTCGGGAAACATGCCCTACAGAATTCAGAACGTGCAATGTATGTTCCAAATGATGGTAGGCACATTTTCCGAGATTTCTCAGAGCCTGGATCGTACTGCGTGTGATTAAAGGTCCTGACAAATAAATTGATTGGCACAACTACTAAACCGCCGCTA